TCAAACAAAATCCCTACCAAACCAATACTTGAAAATTAATCTGATGCTCACTAGTGACTGGCCCTATTCAGGCAGTTAACCTGGGGTTCTAGTGGGAAGCCGTGACCAGTAGGGTACAGCAGGTTGAAGATGTGACAGTAACTCATCTAAGAAGACATTGCGAAATGGTCGCGCTATGTCGTGAATTGGCAGAAGTTAGAATTCAAGGACCATTGGATCGGGTCCCAGTGGCTCAATGGTCTACGAGCTCGCCTTGTAACCAGAAGGTCCTGGGTTCGAATCCCGGTGGGTGCGTACTGCTGAAGAGTCCCAAACTAGGACGAAACAGCTGTCCAGTACTCCCAGGTTTTCCAGTGGTTCTCTAACTGATGTCAGCTCATGATGAAATCCTCCATACAATCAAACAAAATCCCTACCAAACCAATACTTGAAAATTAATCTGATGCTCACTAGTGACTGGCCCTATTCAGGCAGTTAACCTGGGGTTCTAGTGGGAAGCCGTGACCAGTAGGGTACAGCAGGTTGAAGATGTGACAGTAACTCATCTAAGAAGACATTGCGAAATGGTCGCGCTATGTCGTGAATTGGCAGAAGTTAGAATTCAAGGACCATTGGATCGGGTCCCAGTGGCTCAATGGTCTACGAGCTCGCCTTGTAACCAGAAGGTCCTGGGTTCGAATCCCGGTGGGTGCGTACTGCTGAAGAGTCCCAAACTAGGACGAAACAGCTGTCCAGTACTCCCAGGTTTTCCAGTGGTTCTCTAACTGATGTCAGCTCATGATGAAATCCTCCATACAATCAAACAAAATCCCTACCAAACCAATACTTGAAAATTAATCTGATGCTCACTAGTGACTGGCCCTATTCAGGCAGTTAACCTGGGGTTCTAGTGGGAAGCCGTGACCAGTAGGGTACAGCAGGTTGAAGATGTGACAGTAACTCATCTAAGAAGACATTGCGAAATGGTCGCGCTATGTCGTGAATTGGCAGAAGTTAGAATTCAAGGACCATTGGATCGGGTCCCAGTGGCTCAATGGTCTACGAGCTCGCCTTGTAACCAGAAGGTCCTGGGTTCGAATCCCGGTGGGTGCGTACTGCTGAAGAGTCCCAAACTAGGACGAAACAGCTGTCCAGTACTCCCAGGTTTTCCAGTGGTTCTCTAACTGATGTCAGCTCATGATGAAATCCTCCATACAATCAAACAAAATCCCTACCAAACCAATACTTGAAAATTAATCTGATGCTCACTAGTGACTGGCCCTATTCAGGCAGTTAACCTGGGGTTCTAGTGGGAAGCCGTGACCAGTAGGGTACAGCAGGTTGAAGATGTGACAGTAACTCATCTAAGAAGACATTGCGAAATGGTCGCGCTATGTCGTGAATTGGCAGAAGTTAGAATTCAAGGACCATTGGATCGGGTCCCAGTGGCTCAATGGTCTACGAGCTCGCCTTGTAACCAGAAGGTCCTGGGTTCGAATCCCGGTGGGTGCGTACTGCTGAAGAGTCCCAAACTAGGACGAAACAGCTGTCCAGTACTCCCAGGTTTTCCAGTGGTTCTCTAACTGATGTCAGCTCATGATGAAATCCTCCATACAATCAAACAAAATCCCTACCAAACCAATACTTGAAAATTAATCTGATGCTCACTAGTGACTGGCCCTATTCAGGCAGTTAACCTGGGGTTCTAGTGGGAAGCCGTGACCAGTAGGGTACAGCAGGTTGAAGATGTGACAGTAACTCATCTAAGAAGACATTGCGAAATGGTCGCGCTATGTCGTGAATTGGCAGAAGTTAGAATTCAAGGACCATTGGATCGGGTCCCAGTGGCTCAATGGTCTACGAGCTCGCCTTGTAACCAGAAGGTCCTGGGTTCGAATCCCGGTGGGTGCGTACTGCTGAAGAGTCCCAAACTAGGACGAAACAGCTGTCCAGTACTCCCAGGTTTTCCAGTGGTTCTCTAACTGATGTCAGCTCATGATGAAATCCTCCATACAATCAAACAAAATCCCTACCAAACCAATAATTGAAAATTAATCTGATGCTCACTAGTGACTGGCCCTATTCAGGCAGTTAACCTGGGGTTCTAGTGGGAAGCCGTGACCAGTAGGGTACAGCAGGTTGAAGATGTGACAGTAACTCATCTAAGAAGACATTGCGAAATGGTCGCGCTATGTCGTGAATTGGCAGAAGTTAGAATTCAAGGACCATTGGATCGGGTCCCAGTGGCTCAATGGTCTACGAGCTCGCCTTGTAACCAGAAGGTCCTGGGTTCGAATCCCGGTGGGTGCGTACTGCTGAAGAGTCCCAAACTAGGACGAAACAGCTGTCCAGTACTCCCAGGTTTTCCAGTGGTTCTCTAACTGATGTCAGCTCATGATGAAATCCTCCATACAATCAAACAAAATCCCTACCAAACCAATACTCGAAAATTAATCTGATGCTCACTAGTGACTGGCCCTATTCAGGCAGTTAACCTGGGGTTCTAGTGGGAAGCCGTGACCAGTAGGGTACAGCAGGTTGAAGATGTGACAGTAACTCATCTAAGAAGACATTGCGAAATGGTCGCGCTATGTCGTGAATTGGCAGAAGTTAGAATTCAAGGACCATTGGATCGGGTCCCAGTGGCTCAATGGTCTACGAGCTCGCCTTGTAACCAGAAGGTCCTGGGTTCGAATCCCGGTGGGTGCGTACTGCTGAAGAGTCCCAAACTAGGACGAAACAGCTGTCCAGTACTCCCAGGTTTTCCAGTGGTTCTCTAACTGATGTCAGCTCATGATGAAATCCTCCATAAAAATAAAAGCGTTTAGAATAACTAACACTAACTCTTTCGTCTTATTAATGGTTAAAATCACTGCAAACCTCAAGAGTGCATAAGCGATTGTATGACATCGCACACAATTTACCAATTTTCGTGTGTACGTGTGTTTGGACATACATACATAGTGAGGAGTAATCACGCGTTGCACGTGAGGGTGGGAGAGCATATCCCAAAATGGTTAGAAAAACAGATGAATTGTGACAAGCCAATAGATGCAGGTGTCAGAGTACCAACTTCGTCTATACCTAAACACCTAATTGAGATAAACCATAAGGTTGATGTTAACTCAACCTTGAAGGTCATCTATAAAACCATTCAAGGACGTTTACTGAAATACGCTGAGGCTATAGCCATTCATAAACGTAAGCCCCCCCTCTTGTGTATTCAAAAACAGTTTGTTATTACTCTTAACCTACCTTGGTAATCCTTATTTGATTGGATTACCAAACGTTTGTGTTAAATATTCTAAACTCTTTTATTTGTCACTTTGTTTAACTTAACTTTTCCATATATATCGACTTGACAAGTATATGTGTGAGGGATCAGATTGTTCGAAATGTATAGCGCAAATACATCACATCGTTTTTCAGATAATCTCCGTCTTCTAATAATGCTATCAAAATTTATAAAAGGGACTAACTGTTTTAAATCCTAATATTTCCGAATGTACTTTGTCTTATATTACTGATTTTATTCAAATTTTTTAATCATCAGTTTTACTTATGTATATAAATGAAGCAAGAAAGTTGTGTGAGTGCTTTGATATGATTTAGAGTGACAATAAATTGTGCTCGAAACCTCATCAGTAAATATTACTGAGTGTACAATACTGTATGTGATTTATCAAAATAAAAGTTTATCCATAAAGGAGTTAAACTTGCATCAGTAGTGCTGATAATGACAGTAGTAAAACATTGTGAAAGAGAAAACCTCAGCTTTTTATGAAGAACTCACGATCCGGATTAATTCTATCAACTCGATGGAACTAACAGAAGAAAATTTGAATTCAACTATCGCTCATATTTTCGTTCACTTTCCAATCAGGACATAACGTGTTCAAGCTTAAGTCTTGCAGTTTCGGTAGATTTGGCGCCTAAGTTTTTTTAGCTGGCCATTCCACTTTGATTTTTTTAAATGAATTTATCTCCAAAACTGATCCATCATAACTCCTTGAAGGCTGAGCACCCCCGCCATGGGAGGAGAGCTATCCTTCCTAATCAACTTGTCGAGTAGAAATTAATTGATCGATAGGAATTATTAAAAAAATTTCAAGGATTTGATTTGGATCAATATTTTTTCATGTACAAAAATGAAACATATCATCCTTATAATACCTATAAACTTCGAATTGATTTTTATGTCTGGTTGTTGTTTTTTACCGGATTCTACGGGTGGCATGAAACTCTCATCAAAAATAGTGGACACAGAGGAAATCCTATAGCTACTCTGTTGTTCTAAATGATTATGAACACTGAACGTGTGCTTATTGGCTTTGGTCGACATTGGCGAGGAACTTGAAGGCGCTAGTGATTCGATCGTGTACATGTTAGAAGAAGACGAAAGAACACGAACAGAAGTACAATACATTCCTTGTAAAAACAAACATTTGTTTATAGACTTGGTACAGAATTATTGATTTTAACAATCGAAGAAAACAATCTCTGGTCATCCATTGTGTGTTGTGAAATTAAATTCGAAATATCTGTGCTTAGTGGTTGTCGATGCGGAGCGTCTTCGGAAATAATAATAATAGGGTCTTAGAATTAAGTTTCTTGACATTTATCCTTCTGTCAATCTATCTATTTCATCACTAAATTACATGAAGCTTAGATCAATAATCTATTGAAGGTGTATGTGAAAACAGATGTGAGTATAACTCAAGAATATATTATTAGAATTTTATCAAAAGGAAAGATGGCTTGAACGTCTTCATCGCAAAAGGTGAAAAGTTATGAGGTTTTGGTAATTTTTAAAATCGACAGCATGTACTGAATATATTCTCGCTACCCTCTCACTAACTTTTTCTGCCTACCCACCTCCCTGCCCCCCCCTATGCTATGAGAGCCTATCTGTTTGAAGAATTTTAGAAAAACAGGGGGTTGAAAGTCCACAACTCGACATCACGCATTTGTCGAATGATTTTTATCTGCAAAACAGAACTCAGAACTTTAAACAGTAAGCTATCAATAAATAAATTTATTTATAAATATGTGTGTGTATTCATATGAATTAAGTGCCATTTGAATATATCAATTGCATTCAACAGTGTACATCAGAGCATGAACAGGAATCATCTATACCAGATTGTAATTCTTGGTTACTTTGTCACTGGAATCTCAGCGATAATTCCAAAACCATACGAATATAATCAAACTTCACTGTTGTGTAACATTGTTGAAACACTTGAATTTATTCATGAGCATCATTCTTGTTTCATTCTAATGGAGGCGTTGAAACGATTCACTCAACGTCTTACCCGCATATATACACCATTACAGCCTTCAGATGACACCGTCGTTACAAGTTGTTTCGTCACCGCGTTGTCTATCCATATAGAACAATCATGTGATGAAAGGGAAAACAAACTTTGGCCATCTGATATGATGGATGAGTCATGTAAGTAGAATATCCACTCACTCACTTCAATCTCCTCATCATTCGAACTCACATTTCATTTACAGACTTGGTGAACATAACTGATGGGGTAATAGAAATATCTTCCCAAGAGATATGGGGAACACTTCGAGCATTAGAGACGATTCTTCAACTAGTTTACAGAAGTGAACCAGATTCGGTTTGTTCGATTATTCTTTTTTCCAGTTTCTAATATCTTATTTCTTCTATTGACACGCTGTGCTTTACACAATCCCGTTTGACAGAAAGTCATTTATCAAGGTGTTGTCAATGACGTACCGATATTTACACATCGTGGAATTATGATCGACACTGCTGGACATTTTCTCAGTATTTCTGAAATCGAGAAGATGATAGTAAGTGGGAGCTGAACGAATTTGAAATATACATATATATATGTTGTTGTTTTGTTGTTATATAGGATGCAATGTCCACGGTTAAAATGAACACTCTTCATTGGCATGTGACAGATGATCAATCCTTTCCATTCTTCTTTTTCTCACTTCCTGATCTACCGAGATGGGTAAATGTTTCATGGATATTTTGATTTCCACATGTATATACATACATATAAATTTTTTGTTAGAACTCTTATGATGACAAAATCGCGGTATATTTGCCGGATGAAGTAACCGGATTATTGGAGTATGCACGTTTAAGAGGTGTACGTGTGATACCAGAATTTGAAACTCCAGGTAAATGACATATGAGCTTTTTTTGAAGTTTTATTGGTTTTCACACGCACACACGCACACAAGGAGAAACACTGTAACATTGTTCAACGTAGAGAGATAGAGACATTTCTGATGTCATGGACTTCATTTTCAAACTGTTATTTTCGGCGTATTTATTTTTAACTACCAAAAAAGGCATTAAGTGGCACTGAAAACTGATCGCTTGTCAATATATATACATATCATAGAAGGAAAAATATTTGAATGACACAATGAGAACAACACCTTTTTTTAACATTTATAATATTGTAGTATTTTCAACTCAATTCCAGATAACTTGAATAATAAACTATATAAGCAGTGAATGTATCATATAATGTGAATCTTTAAATATTATTATTATTATTAATAGTAGAACAAGACACTTATAAGGGAAGAGTATTGTTCTTTTCAGTTAGATCTTCTCCACGCTTACTCTAATTTACTGAGCTCTTCATATGTAAACATTTTAACCAATGACGGTGAGTTTGTGGATCAATTAATAGCGATAATAATAATAACAATGTGGTAAATGTTTTTAATGTCAGTTATAATGACTATTATAATGATAGCAAAAATGATGGTAATAAATAATAGATTAGTTAATACAAGAATGATGTAGTATAGAGACAAAGTTAATCAGACCAACTAAAGTAAGACTGAGTTAAAAACTAGATGACGTAATATAATTTTCTAAAATGTTACAACTTAGGTCAGGATAGCAACAGAGGTAATTACAGGTAGAGATTAAGTAGAAGTGAAATTGAGTGAATAAGTCGGATGACGTAACATGAATGACTAGAAACTGAGCGTTGTTCAAGTCAGTAACAGTGGTAGTGGGGTGTAGACATTGAATCGGTTGGGGGTAGAGAACAAGAAAGTTGAAAATGTAAAATGTTGCAATTGAGAGGACAAAATAATACTAATGAAGAGACAGAAGAAAAGATTAGGTACAGTTTACATGTCGGCTATCTATCTTATTAGCCGACATTTAAACTCTACACTTGCAATGGACGTAATCTATCTTATTAGCCGACATGTAAACTGTACCTAATCTTTTCTTCTGTCTCTTCATTAGTATTATTTTGTCCTCTCAATTGCAACATTTTACATTCTCAACTTTCTTGTTCTCTACCCCCACCCGATTCAATGTCTACACCCCACTACCACTGTTACTGACTTGAACAACGCTCAGTTTCTAGTCATTCATGTTACATCATCCAACTTATTCACTCAATTTCACTTCTACTTAATCTCTACCTGTAATAAATAATAATAAATTATTATACCTGGCCCGGTTAGCTCAGTCGGTAGAGCATCAGACTTTTAATCTGAGGGTCGGGGGTTCGTGCCCCCCATCGGGAGGCGGCTTGGACATACATACATAGAAAGGAATAATCGCGCGTTGCACGTGAGAATGGGAGAGCATATCCCAAAATGGTTAGAAAAACAGATGAATTGTGACAAGGCAATAGATGCAGGTGTCAGACTACCAACTTCGTCTATAGCTGAACACTTAATTGAGATAAACCATAAGGTTGATGTTAACTCAGCCTTTAAGGTCATCTATGAAAACGGTCAAGGACGTTTACTGAAATACGCTGAGGCTATAGCCATTCATAAACGTAAGCCCCCCCTCTTGTGTATTCAAAAACAGTTTGTTATTACTCTTAACCTACCTTGGAAATCCTTATTTGATTGGACTACCAAACGTTTGTGTTAGTTATTTTAAACTCTTTTATTTGTCACTTTATTTAACTTAACTTTTCCATATATATCGACTTGACAAGTAAATGTGTGAGGGATCAGATTGTTCGAAATGTATAGCGCAAATACATCACATTGTTTTTCAGATAATCTCCGTCTTCTAATAATGCTATCAAAATTAATAAAAGGAACTAACTGTTTTAAATATCAATAAAGTATGAAGGATAGGAAGGATATCTACGGTTGTGTTTTAAAGGTGAGTTCAAATTCCATTCGAAAGGTTCAATGGAATGCGATAGATAACTTTGAAGGTAATTCATCTATCTAAGTGGTGACCGCTATGATCAATGAATTGCGACAAAATAGGACTTCTTATAGGTTTTATTTAGCCTTTTCCCAAACCATTGAGGAGAATGCTCACTAATGTGTTTGTTGAATTACTGTTTAGTTGTTCGCCCTGTATAGCCTTCTCCGCAGGAGCAGCTAAATTTATAGATACACATAGAAGTGGCACATCTAGGTAGGTAGCTTGTCTTTCACTTGAGCAATCATAATTGGTCGGCAGCTGGGAAACGACAGACAAGGGATGCTGGTGGCAGTATTAGTCCATTTTATCGCTCTGGATAATCTTAAATGTAGGACTTCATCAGCCACGTCCCCATTGAATTGCAATTTTAGGAACAGTTGCTTTTTAAATGTTGTCAGTTTCTCTTTATTATACCTGGTGTTCATGTGTCTCCTAACAAAGCCACTAGGACAACCAGTTTAGATCAGCGTATTTTGGATGTATCCCCAATTCATTTTTTAGGTAGTCATCTGTAAATATCCAACTTGCTTTATTTATAAGGCATCTAACTAAATTGATTTCACTCACAGCCACAGCTATGGGAATTAATTCGAGAGAACAATCCCAGTCTTTGCATACAAAAGAAGTTTGTTCTACCTTTGTCTCTCCCTTGGCCTAGGTGAATTCTATTCAAAACCCTCCCACTCTTTCTTATTTTCCATCTCCTTCGTACTTTTATGATATTTATTTAAACTCTGATTATCTGTCCACTTCACTTACCTTTAGCATTACGTACCTTTTAAGATTTGATCTAATTTATTTATTTATTGAATTGTCTACACATACACATACATCTTACTACCTTTGTTATTCTTATCGCCAGTGTGCATCAACCTTATTATCATCATGTTTGCTTACTAAATAAAGCAATAAGAAGACGTAATTTGTCTGAGGCGTATACTGGTGTATTTGCGCATCACATTTCGAACAATCTGATCACACACACAAACGTGTCATAGGAATATATATGAAATTAATAAAGAGTTGAGAGGTGAGAAAATAAACACAGGTCAAGTTAAAACGACATATTCAAAGTCAAAATAACAATGAAGACCATTAAACCAAATAGCAGACGTTATAGTACCTCTGCTATGGTATCAAAACAAAATTTGCCAAGGAAAATGGTTTAATATGATGACGAATTGTTGCTGTGAAAGCATACAAGTGGTTTAAACTTCCCAATTGCCAGGTAGGGCTTCCACAAACTTCAGGATACGTCCTCCCCCAAAAGATCTGTTAACGTCAATTTTATGTCGTGTCTCTATAATATGTTTCTCAATAGAGGAGCTTTGTTTCCTGTCCTCACCAATAATGGGTTCCGAGAATTCCATTTGTTTCTGGAGCCATTTACGAATATGCTCTGAGGCCAGCCCTTACTTACAGAGATCGATGAATCCACACGTACATTCAAATTGGTAAATACAGTGGGATGTGACATCATTTTTCTCATGTTCAAAGGGCTTAGATAGATATGCTGACTTCACATTCTCAATTATTATCATATTAGTTGCATAAAACGTCTTTTTAACGATACCAGCGTTCAGTCTTTGTCTAGTTATCAAGCTGCTATGATTCCCCATATAGGGTAGCTTGATGTACACGTCTTTCTTAGGGGCGAGTTGAAGAGGGGGTCTTTGGGTTCTGACTATTATATATCTCCTGATGAACTTGTCTGGATAATTGTTATCAACCAGAGTTTGTGTCAACTTTCTTTCTTCTTCATCAAGTGTGTCTTCAGTGCATATTCGTTGGATTCTACTGAAGAGGCACCTTACTAAGGCTTTTTCGTACCGAACAGGGCAGAAACTGTGGTAATTAAGATACTGTCGTGTCCTGTCCAGGTAGGTTTTCTATAAATAGATCTTTTTATTGACCCATCAAGCCGTCGACTAAGCAATATGTCTAGGAAAGATAAACAATTATCTTCCTTTTCCACAGACAGATGTAAGTGATATGCTATTCTGAAATTCATTCATTCGATTTAAAATTGAGGTGGCAGAACAAGGCGCTTATCACTTATGATTACAATATTATCTACATACAAGTTACGTCTTCTTATTGCTTTATCTAAATTCATAAAGGGAACTAATTGTTGATAATTTTTGCTATCATTATGATCGTTGTTATTAATGACGTTCAAAACATTTAGTACATTATTATTGTTATTATCATAGTCCGATCGACCAACTCACCGTCATTGATTAAAGTTTGTATATATATAGAGAGAGGGAGCTATGTAAATTAGAGTGAATCCTGAAGAGGATCTAATTGAAAACAACAATACTGTTCCTTTATATGACTTGTTCTTATATTAATTAATGCATACTTTAACTCTGAATAAACAGTTTACTTTGATAGGAGAAAAATATAACATACCGAAAAGGAAAAGAGGTACAAAGTAAACAATAATTTAGAATAATAAATCAAAAAGCATATTAGAGATGTTGTATAGTGTACATAGAAGAATGTTCTAGAATTTAAGGCTAATTGGCACATAAGTACAGACAGCTACATTATTATTATTGTTTCCTTTAATTCCTAGAGGAACATAGGGCTTCAGCCGTGCGTCTCCATTGCGTTCGGTTCTCTGCTAGAGTCTTCACCTGGCTCCAAGTCTGCCCACATGTTTTCATCTCCTCTTCACATTACCTCCTCCAAGTCACCCTTGCACTGACGACCAACTCGCCGCTTCCCTTTCGGGTTCCACTCGAGCAATGGCTTGTCTAGTGATGTCACTTGATGGCTTGTTTCCTCAGAGTATGGCCAGCCAATCCATCTCCATTTCTTCCTGCCTATTTGTTTCACAATCGGTTCTTGGTTGGTTCGCTCCCAGAGATCTCTGTTGCTGATCTTTTCTGGCCATCTGATCTTGAGTATTGAGCGAAGACAGCTGTTAATGAAGGTCTGTAGTTTGTTTGAGATGCTCTTT